ATCATTAAATGGTCATGGTTCCTGGATTAGATCATGTACCAAAAAAGAAATAAAACAGCTTTAAAAATTATCCAATGGGATAATTTATTTTTTATTAAAGATGCCTATCTGGATTAGCGAATCATTTGTGTCAATGTTAAGTTTCATGATTCTGATTATTGTTGTTTGGTTATGTAAGAAAATGTTCTTTATTTTTTAAAATGAAGACTAAAATACTTTAAAAGGTTTTTAATTAGTTTTTCTTTATTTGAAAGGCAGAGAGAGAGAGAGAGAAAGAGAGAGCACTAGCTCCCATCCGTTGGTTCATTCCCCAAATGCCTACAATGGCCAGGGAGGGCTGGAGCCAGAGCTGCAAGCTGGGAACTCATTCCAGGATTACATGAGAATGATGTGAATCCAGTACGTAAGCCAGCAGCACTGACTTCAAGGGTTCTCAGTGGCAGGAAATTGGAGTCAGGAGTCAGAGCTGGGAATAAAACCCAATCAACTCCCAGGAAGGATAACTAGCCACTCACTCTAAACTATTTTTTTGTAAAGAATAATAATGTTTACAGCTTCTTCTTAAATAGTTTGTTTTAAAAAAGGAAAGAATAGGGTATGTATGGATGTGTGTGTATATGTGTGTATGTGTATGTATTAAACTGAGGAAAGTATATGCAAGTATACAAGATTTCTACGTACTATTTGTAGTTTTTCAAGTCATTAGATTTGAAATAATAATAACTAAGCTACCAAATATGTCAAGGAAAAACTAAAGCAAACCTTTAGAGAACTAGTTTTCTAAAAGTCAAATGATAAAGAATGGATGATAGTCATATGAAAATTGAAATCATGACAGAGAAGACAAACTAGATATAGTCAGAGTAAAATAAAAGCAAAATAAAAAACAGTTAAAACAATTAAAGAAAATATAAAAAAATATATTATTTAAAGAGGATATGACATAAAGATCATTTTCTAAGAAGGAAAGAGCCAAATGAAACAGAAAAATAATTCAAAGATATAAAAGAAGAAAATTTCTCTAAAATTAGGGAGGTTTTTATTCTTTAGACACAAAGAAAACCCTGTCACTTAAAAAAAAATGCTTAACTATTGACACTGAAACACAATGCTGGTAGAGTTACAGGATTTCAAGGATTAAGAAAAAAATTCTTCAGGCATCCAGTCAGAAAAGAAACCCATCATATGCAAGAGAAAAGGGGAGCTATAAAATTAAGCTGACTGGGGCCAGCACTGTGGCCTAGTGGGTAAAGCTGCTGCCTGCAGTGCCGGCATTCCATATGGGCACCAGTTTGTGTCCTGAATGCTCCACTTCCAATCCAGCTCTCTGTCATGCCTGGGAAAGCAGTATAAGATGGCCCAAGTCCTCGAGGCCCTATACCCACATGGGATACTGGAAGAAGCTCTTGGCTCTTGGCTTCGGATTGATGCAGCTCTGGCCCTTGTGGCCCACTGGGGAATGAACCAACGATGGAAGACCTCTCTCTCTGCAACTCATATCTGTGTAACTCTGACTTTCAAATAAATAAATAAATAAATCTTATAAAAAAATTAAGGTACCCTCAGATTACATCACAGCAGAATTCAGGGTACAAACAGGATTTACAAGGTTTAAGATAAAGATGACCCAAGGGTACCACCATCTGCCAATTTGCCAATCAAATACAAGGACAAAGGTAACAGGCATTCTCACAAATGAAAGAACTCAGTTACTAGAGCTACCATGAGTTTTACCTACAGGGAAAAATAATTTGACTATTCAACCAAACAACTAATAAATGGAATAACTGATAAAGGACTAATTGGGACCATCTTCAGGGTCAGAATACAGTGGAGATATATTGACTAAATATATCAAAAATCAATTGTTGGCCAGCGCCACTGCTCAGTAGGCTAATCCTCCGCCTGCGGTGCTGGCACACCGGGTTCTAGTCCCGGTCGGGGCGCCGGATTCTGTCCCGGTTGCTCCTCTTCCAGTCCAGCTCTCTGCTGTGGCCCAGGAGTGCAGTGGAGGATGGCCCAAGTGCTTGTGCCCTGCACCCGCATGGGAGACCAGAAGGAAGCACCTGGCTCCTAACTTTGGATCGGCGCAGCGCGCAGGCCATAGCAGCCACTTGTGGGGGTGAACCAACTGAAGGAAGACCTTTCTGTCTGTCTCTCTCTCTCACTGCCTAACTCTGCCTGTCAAAAAAAAAAAAATTGTGATCCATTAAATAAATATGGCTAACATGCCAATTGGCCATAAATATTAGAGACACAATCAATAATGCCATAATCAAACTTAATGGAAATGCATTGAAATAAAAAACTCAGGATTTGGTCTCCTTAATTTTAAAAGTTTTTTTTTTTTTAAATGATAGATTAAGCCATAAAATTTCCATTCCAGTATTCTATTGATCTACAAAAAGTATATAGTTCAACTTAGTAATTTTTCTGGTGAAAAGTATTTATCAGAAATGTACAATTTCCTTTAGATGCTTTTCAGTATATCTTTTGTTAAGTTGGGTAAATATATATATATATATATAAAATACATATACACATATAATTTTAAGTATTATGCAGAGTATAGTCTATTTTTTATAAAATTATCACCACCTTTCCTTCAATCTATTCATTGTTCTACATATATATTTTTACATGTGTAGTTATGATATAATAGAGATGTTTACAATGATGCATGTGTAAATTCATAATGATTGTTTTAGTAAGACTGTAGGGGTTTTGGTTTTCTTTAGTATTCTTTAACTATTTGAATTTTTTAATAACTAAGTTGAATCATTTTTAGAAAAACAGCAGTCTATGGGTAATAAGGGAAGAAACCACTAATGCACAAAAACAAGAAAGGGAAGAGCAAATGTTGAATATATGGGAGCAGAGAATTTTCTAGCTTGCCTCTTGGATCTGTAGCTGGCTTCTTTTTCACTGTGTAGCTGACTTTTTGATGAAAATAAGATTACTTCCCTTCATGTTGTTGTTGCTGAACCAGACTTTCTCATGATCACGTATATGTTCATACATATTAGCTAGACTATTATTATGGAGGCTTGAAATAAAACATACACATTTAGTTACCCCTCAAAATGTGGTTTGCTAGCTACCTGAAATGGCATCACCTGAGTACTTGTTAGAAGTGTAGATCTCAGACACCACCACAGACCCACTGACTCACAATCTGCATTCTTAACAAAATCCCCTAGGGCATGTATCCAAGCCTAAAGTGATCTAACAAGTGAGTTGGACAGTAGCTTTCATAAAGCTATAAAGATTAACCATTAGAATTAAGTCAGTAGGAATGTATGGAGAACTATAAAGCTTTGCAGTTACAAACTTCCTCCTCCCTCTCTTATTCCCACTCTTATTTTGGAAACCCAAATCCCAATAAACTGGGTGGTAAAAATATCATCTTAAGTGTTAAAGTGATCATATAGGTAGGATTAAGTGTTAAATGGGTCATATAATTAAGATCAAGTGTCTGCTAATAATAATAGATAGAATTAAAAATGAGAGAATGCTCTTTTTTTCTTTTTTTCCTTTCTTTTTTTTTATTTGACAGGTAGAGTTAGACAGTGAGAGAGAGAGACAGAAAGGTCTTCCTTCCATTGGTTCACCCCTCAAATGGCCGTTACAGCCAGGGCTATGCTGATCCACAGCCAGGAGCTGGGTGCTTTCTCCTGGTCTCCCATGTGGGCGCAGGGGCCCAAGCACCTGGGCCATCCTCCACTGCCCTCCCGGGCCACAGCAGAGAGCTGGACTGGAAGATGAGCAGCTGGGACTAGAACCGGCACCCATATGGGATGCCAATGCCACAGGTGGAGGATTAACCAAGTGAGCCCCTGCGTCGGCCCCCGAAGAATGTTCTAACATGGGAAGCAGTCCACACTGCAGACTCATATAATGACAATCGCTTTAAATAGCACTCTGACCTCAGAATCAGCCCTTAAGGCATTCTGGTCTGGCTGAAAAGCCATGAGAGCATTTCAGGCATGGAAAGCCAAGACACTGTGGCAAAAAAAATGTCTTGCATGAAGGATCTCTGTGAGAGAGATCCCAGTGAAAAGAAGTGGACATCAGAGGAGGATGTACTTTTCTATGAAGGGAAGAGAGAACTTCCACTTTGCTTATGGCCTTGTGTAAATACTGACAGAGATTGTGGATTCAAAAGGCTTCCATAGCCTTGGCAGCTCATGTCAAGAGCCTCAGGTGATCACTTAGATCATACATAAGAGTGTTAACTGTTAAATTAACAACAGAAATCACTGTGCACTTACTTCCCATGTGGGACTTCTGTCCTCAATGAGTCATATTATGAGAACTAAATACAAAACTTGGTCTCAAACAGTTTCATGTGTATCTGTGTGTGCATGTGCAAATTGTTGAAATCTTTACTTAGTATAGAGTTGGTCTTCTGTGTATAAAGTTAATTGGAAATGAAACTTAATGGAGAATGGGACTGGGAATAGGAGAGGGTGGAGGAGGTGGAGTGGGAGTGGGGGTGGGAGGGCAGGTATGGTGGGAAGAATCACTGTATTCCTTAAGTTTTACTTATGAAATTTCTACTCATTAAATAAAAGGTTTCTTTGGGAAAAAAACTAAAAGCAAAAAAAAAAAAAAAAGAAAACACAAATATATTACAGACACACATACAAGATAATAAAAAATAACACTACTTTAAAAAAAGATTAACCCTTCAGTGGTTATGGGGAAAGGAGAAAAAAGATTTGTTTTTCTGCACACATGAAGTCTTTATGCCACATTTGATTGTGTATTATGTAGACTCAGGAGAATCAACCCTGTGCAACTGCACAGCAACACTTGCTTATCATATTTTCTTCCCATTAGCAGTGGATAACAAGAAGAAAGACATACTAGTTCATGGTTAAAGAAGGAAAAGGAAAGTCTACTTTGTTTTACTGCTTGTTTTCCTAGCAAGAGTAATGAACAATGAGGCAGAGGGCAGAGATAACATTATCTATGGTGAAAAAAAAAAATAGCCTTACCTGCAAGATTTCTCTGCACATTTAATTCTTTTTCCAAACTTGCTATGGTTTGTTGATCAGCAGTGTCATCTAAGAAAGGCTCATTCTGGTCAGCAGTATCAACATATTCAATTTCTGAAACTTCAGATGCAGCTCTGGATAGTGATTGAGCAGCTGCACTACTTGATTGAGAATGAGAGGATGAAAGGCATCTGGAGCATTTTGTAACAGAATTGGAAACTGGCAAATTTGCTGTTGAGGGTCTCTGTGATTTCTGGTCTAAAACAAGAAGTGAAAATTTTTAAATCAACTGTTTTTAAAATTCTGAATGAGTAATAATACAAAATACCAGCCCCCTACACAGTTAAGGTTCATGCAACAGAGTTTATGAGAAAATCCACTTTTGATTATCATCTATTTCAGCTAGCCAAGATCTGTTAATCTCAAATCACTTCCACTATGTCATAAAGAATGCTTCTTGTAATTTTTCTGTAATTTTCTATATTCAGAAAAAGACAAATGAAATGCAATATTCACCGAAGCATAATATTGATGGTTTATAATTTATTCCTATATTTAAAAATATGGGAACAGAACAAATACATTAATATGAAATGGCTGTGTGGATTTTTCCAAAACCAAAGCCTTTCCAAAGACTGAGATCAAATCTTTAATCTCCTAAATATGAATTCACTCTGCTACTTTCCAGGTCACTTGAATGTAGAAGTCCCAGAAGCGCAGACCTAAGACAGGTGATTGCATTGTTCCATTAGAGTCATCACTACTCCATGTTGATCTAATTCAAACATTCACTTAGTTGACTTCTTCGACAGATGTGTTTATTTTTAAGGAGAGGAAAAAAAATCCCTATAAATATTCTACTAACACAGCTTATTTTTGTTTTGGTATTTCTCACAAAATATTCTTTAATAAATGCCAAGGGAATTTTCACAGTACACATTTTCAAATTCTAGCACCAGTTAATTTTCAGATGTACTGAATCATTTTTCTGATTCAGATAAATATATTAACTATAAAAAATTTATCTTGTAATTTTACATTCCCTTAACACAACTTGCCATGGGTTAAAACATTAGACTCTAAAGAAGTGCAGTTGTCACTGTAGCAATCATGACCTAACTGAACGTGTGTCATATAACACTATAGCCCCTCTATCGATTCCAGTGAAAATATAATATTCAAAAAAGTGAAAGTGGTCATAGCATATTAAACATGTAATGGCTAATGAGTTTGTGTTTTTTACTTAAAGAATTCCATTTTGAATGCAGCTAATACACTAAGAAGAACCTGAATGCAGTATGTAATTATTTAAGCAATTAATACTGACTAAGGGTGAGTTCCAAAGGGCACCAAATTTAATGAACATTTCAGAAATCAATTTTTATAATAATTTTGTTAGAATTATTTTGTGAATATATTAAAGAAAGATCCTGATCTTTTTGGGCCTGTTTGTGTTCAGAGACAATTCTGAAGAAAAATAACTGACAAAAACTCACCTAGGTGTTAAAAATACATAAATCCCTAAGAATTACATTGGCAACTAGAATTTGTAAGTAATTTCCCCTTTTATCTATAATAAGTAGAGAATCAATATTCTATTCATAATCACCCAGAAAGGCAACCTTGCCATGCTTGCATAATGAAGCTCTAGTAGGAAAAACAGCAGTGGCATCACATCTTTGAGTATAACAACAATTCACTCTGTACACCAAACTTTTAGAGCTGTGTAAAAAGCTTTGTTCTTGTATCAGCATTGTGATGGGTCACAGTCAAGGTAAAATGCAAAGGAACTCAGAACTCTCATTAAAATAATATAAACAAAGGAAGATGTTATTAGTAAGGCCTGGACTATTGCCAACACAGAAAAATATTAAGTGAGAAAAATTTTAAATAACGTAAATGCCCTTCAGAAAAATCAGGAGAGTACAAACACTTGCTCAACTTTTATAACAACATCTGGTTGCCACAGTATTTAAACTTAATTGATCCCAATTGAGGGGAAAACTACCCAGGGGATGGGTCAGACTTATGATCAGCACACAGCAAAGAGACAAACCATCTTTCTTACTGGAAAATATGCTCAAAGTGAAATTTAAACAAAACAGAGAATTAGATAGAAGAAGCACTAACTTGGTCCTTGATATTCTTGTTCACTTAGGTCAGTATATCATTCTCTGCAATGTTTAATTTGTAAGCTTATCAATGTTATTGCTAAGGTTAGGATTTGACACAATATTAAGAATGGCACTAATACAACATGCCACAATCGAGGGGATCATTCCATAAAGAAAAAAAGAAGCACATTGTGTAGATTACCAACAGAAGAAATTATTTTTGGAGCGAATTGTGCTATCACTAGCAATATAATCTCAGGAAATCATTAACTGTTCACAGTTATCCTCTAAATACAACAAAATAAATTTTCCATTGTGGTAGCCATAAAATATTGCTCTATAATTACTAATTAAAGTATGCCAAATATTGAGAAGTTAAAATGCAATGTACTTTCAGGTTATATTAACAAACACAAGAATGCTCATAAGAATATGAAAAATATGAATCACTTCAGTGAATAATATTTAATATTCCAATAATGGTTGCTATTCTAGATTTAACATTGCTATTTGATGAAACATAATTTTAACAATGTGTTTTTGAACAGAATTTTGATAGCAAATAACATCCTTATTCAAGGACCCAATATTTTAATTCTAATAAAGAATGCAAAACAATAACCATCTATTGACAATCTTGTTCCAAGTATAAACTGCTGAGAATTATACATTAAAAAATGAAATTTATTTTCTAAGAGTTCCTGAAACACATATAGAAATTTTATTTAGCAATATGGTTTAGAGGAAAGAATGCTAAACTGGGTAGCTAAGAACCTAATTGTCTCATCACACTGAATTAGAAATCAGCCTGTGATCTGAGATACGGCATTTCATATTTGACATGTTAACTGGATGATATAAATCTCTTCCAACTCTGAGAACTTATGAATTAATACTCAACCCAATTCAACTATAAAGTCATTTATCAACTCCAAATACTGCTAGGCCATGTATCAGGATCAGGATACTCAAAAGCAAATGAGAAGCTGGTGTTTGGCCTAGTAGTTAAGATGCCAAGTAAGACATACACACATCCCCCACTGGAGTGTCTGCATTTGATTCCTAACTCCAGCTTCTGACTACAGCTTTCTGTTACTAAGAGGGGCAGCAGTAATGGCTCAGGTAGTTGGGGGTCCCTGCCATCCACATGGGAGACCTACATTGAACTTACTGACTCCTGGCTTCAGCCTTAGCCTGTCCTGACCATTGCAGGCATTTGAGAAATGAATCATTAGATGAAAGTGCTCTCTCCCTCTCTCTCTGTCCCTCCCATTTCAAATTGATAAATCAGTAATTTTTAAGTGAATGAAACTTTGCCCCTACCTTCAATTTGAACTCCAAAGTTAAACTTCAAACTAATGCACACATTCAGAAATATGTACCAAGCACTTACAATATACCAGGCCATGCTATATCACAGAGGATAAACCAATAAACAGAGCAAGATAAGCCTTGTTGTTTCCAACCATAGGTGGGAGCGAGCAGAAAATAAACAAATACATGAGATCATGTCACATGGAGATAAGTTCTAAGAGAAAGAAAAAAGAAAGTAGATGTAATAGAGGCACCCTGGAGACTAGCATTAGATACAGTGGTCTCAAAAGGCCTCTCTAAGGAGACAACATCTGAGCTGACACTGAATAAAGGGAAGAAAATATAATCATACAAAGCAGGCTGTGACAATGGAGAGGGAGGTTACACAGCACTCTAGATGAGAGAGAACAGCAAATTCTAAAGCAAAGAGCTGAATAGGAACATGGCCTCTCCAAGAACTGAAAGGAAGCCAGTGGAGCTATAATACAGATGATGCAGTTTGGAAGACAACATGGGAAGCCAACCCCGGTAATGCTGTGTTAGGGAATGCAATTTTTCCTACCATGTATAGGAAGCTTTGGATGATTTAGGTTATTAAATGATGTGATAAAATTTATGGTTTAAATTTATGGAAAGCATACCTCACTCCCTATGAATTAAAAGTATGAATAATTTTATGACTATAAATATAAGCAATTAATTCTCCAACTATAAACTATAGAATTGGATGGGAATTAGTCACAACAGCATGATTGTGGTGGGGAGAAAGTGAACTTGGGAGGGAGAGGTTCCTGGACTCATCTTGAACAGTGAAGATGAAAGTGCTCAGATTCAGGACCAGTTTTGGAGCTGAGAGCAGCAGGACTTGGGATGAATAAGATGTGGTGAATGGAGTCAAGATGTATCCTGACTTTCAGATTTAATCCATTTTCAGATGGTATCGTCATGTACACAGACAGAAAATTCGGGTGAAAGGGGCAGATTCTTGGAGAGCCAGAGGGAGAATCAATGGAATTGCTGACAAACACACAAATACTTTCTAGCTGCCATATTTTTGTCCTTACAAATTTTAAAATGTTATGGAAATGGAAATTTATTTACATATTGGTATCAGTTCAAAATAAAAGATGCATATATTGATAGTCAGTTACTATACTTGTCTAGAAAGCCATTGCACAGTTTCCCTAACTGATAAGTTATTATTTTTATAAGTTTCAACTGAAATGTCATCTAGTCTCTAAAATCTTTCATATCTACATTTTCTATGGCAAAACCATTATTTTATAACCTCAAAAAACTATATATGTACCTATTTTTATTATAATTGATAGAACATATAATTATTAATTACCTATCAACCTCCAAAAGTACGTTATAAAATTTATAAATGGTAGAAATTATGTGTCTGAGCATGTGTATTAAATTTTTTTTCAGAATATGATTTTTTTAAAAATATTACTTCCAGACTATATCAGCACAACAGGGAGTTGTTGATAAAATAAATGCAAATTCCCAGGTTTCTCCTTAGCCTTAATTAATCAGAACCTCCCAAAGATTCAGAAACAACATAACAATGGGTTTCCCACGTGATGCATACTCATCTCTGAGAACCTGTGTACCAGACTGCAAGGCAAAGATTTATTTAATTTCACAGTCCCTGGACTCAGACAGGTGATCCAACAAATGTGTTTGTCATGTTGTTAATTTTTGTTAGAGAGAAAAGGTGTGTGTGTGTGTGTAGTGTGTGTGGAGAAAGAGAGAGAGACAAAGAGAGAGACAGAGAGAGAGGGAGAAACAGCATGTGACACAGAGGGAGCGTTTATCTACTGGATCACTAGCTAACTGCCATCAAGGGCCTCTGGCCTCAGCAGAAAGTGGGGACCTGGAATGCAATCTAGATATCCCCAGAAGGGTGGCCGTGACCCAATTACTTGGGCCATCACCTAAACTGCTTCCCAGCATCTGCACTGGCAGGAATCTGGAGTCAGCAGCCAGATTCTAGAGTCAACCCAGGCACCTCAGATATAGGAAGAGATCATCTTCATCCCTAAGCCAAAAGCTTAAAAGTGTTTTGTAATAAATCGTTGATTATGACTAATCTGCCCAAATTGATACTTATAAACATTTGGCTACTTAGTTATAAAGATTTCTCTTAGTAATGAATTTCTCATAGCATACATATGAATTTATTTTCATCAGTGTATACCATAACATAAAATTTTCTTCTTACTTCCTCAGAAGGAAGCAATCAGAAGTTTGGAAGCTGCTCTAGACTTTGATATGAGACTAGGTACTTAAGCATAGAACTAAAAAAAAGTCATGAATGGTTTCTATACTAATTTTTTTTTTACATCTGACATATATTCATCATAAATGCATATAGAAAGGAGTCTATGTTCACCAAGGAGTTTTAATCATCATCTAGGGCAACAGAGACATATAAATCTTATATATAGGATAATCTTGTGTAATTGAATTTCTGGCTTGAAGAGAACATTTAACCAAGGTAAATAAGGTACTTTACAGGATTCCACCTAAACCATGAGCTCATTAACATCAGGGAACATGATTTAGGCATCTCTTTATCCCCAGAGCCTAGCATAGTGTGGACACACTCAACACATGCCTTAATTCAATAGTTAACAACTGTAACCTAATATGAAATTCAGCACAAAGCAAACCTCCTTTAACAATTATGGCTTAATAATATTAGTAACTTTAATGCTGTCATATACTCTGTATACACTCATTAGGAAAGGATTATAATGGACATTGACCATATCAATAGTTATCCTTCCTCAGCTACAGAGTTAATGAATGGAAATCAAGATATCAACAATAAAGCATTACATTCAAAAGCAATGTATACTGTTGAAATCTTTTTTTTCCTTTTTCTTAAACTTTTATTTAATGAATATAAATTTCCAAAGTACAGAATATGGATTACAATGGCTTCCCCCCAATAACGTCCCTCCCACCCGCAACCCTCCCCTTTCCCACTCCCTCCCCCCTTCCATTCACATCAAGATTCATTTTCTATTCTCTTTATATACAGAAGATCAGTTTAGTATACATTAAGTAAAGATTTCAACAGTTTGCTCCCACACAGAAACATAAAGCGAAAAATACTGTTTGAGTACTAGTTATAGCATTAAATCTCAATGTACAGCACACTAAGGACAAAGATCCTACATAAGGAGTAAGTGCACAGTGACTCCTGTTGTTGACTTAACAAATTGACACTCTTGTTTATGGCATCAGTAATCACCCTAGGCTCTTGTCATGAGCTGCCAAGGCTATGGAAGCCCCCTGAGTTCACTGACTCTGATAATTTTTAGACAAGGCCATGGTCAAAGTGGAAGTTCTCTCCTCCCTTCAGAGAAAGGTACCTCCTTCTTTGATGGCCCGTTCTTTCCACTGGGATCTCACTCACGGAGATATTTAGTTTTTTTTTTTTTTTTTTTTCCCCCAGAGTGTCTTGGCTTTCCATTCCTGAAATACTCTCATGGACTTTTCAGCCAGATCCGCATGCCTTAAGGGCTGATTCTGAAGCCAGTGTGCTGTTTAGGACATCTGCCATTCTATGGGTCTGCTGTGTATCTCACTTCCCATGTTGGATCACTCTCTCCCTTTTTGATTCTATCAGCTAGTATTTGCAGACACTATTCTTGTTTATGTGATCCCTTTGGTTCTTAGTCCTATCATTATGATCAATTGTGAACACAAATTGATCACTGGGACTAGTGAGATGGCATTGGTACATGCCACCTCGATGGGATTGAATTCGAATCCCCTGGTATGTTTCTAACTCTACCGTTTGAGGTAAGTCAGCTTGAGCATGTCCCGAATTGCACATCTCTTCCCTCTCTTATTCCCACTCTTATATTTAACAGTGATCACTTTTCAGTTAAGTTTCAGCACTTAAGAAGAATTGTGTATTGATTACAGTATTCAACCAAAAGTATTAAGTAGAACAAACAAAAAAAATACTAAGAGGGATAACATATCAAGTTGCTCATCAACAGTCAGGGTGAGGACTGATCAAGTCACCATTTCTCATAGTGTTCATTTCACTTTAACACGTTTCCTTTTTGGTGCTCAGTTAGTTGTCACCTATCAAGGAGAACAAGTGGTATTTGTCCCTTTGGGATTGGCTTATTTCACTCAACATAATGTTTTCCAAATTCCTAACAGGGATCACTTTTCAGTTAAAATTTAAACACCTAAGAATAACTGTGTGTTAATTACAGAGTTCAACCAATGGTACTAGAACAAAAAAAAAATACTAAAATGGATAAAGCATTACATTGTACATCAACCATCAGGACAAGAGCTGATCAAGTCACTGTTTCTCATAGTGTCCATTTCATTTCAACAAGTTTCCCCTTTGGTGCTCAGTTAGTTGTCATCGATCAGAGAGAGCATATGATATTTGTCCCTTTGGGACTGGCTTAATTCACTCAGCATGATGTTTTCCAAATCCCTCCATCTTGTTGCAAATGACCAGGTTTCGTTGTTTTTGACTGCTGTATAGTATTCTAAAGAGTACATGTCCCATAATTTCTTTATCCAGTCTACTGTTGATGGGCATTTGGGTTGGTTCCAGGTCTTAGCTATTGTGAATTGAGCTACAATAAACATTAATGTGCAGACAGCTTGTTTGCCAATTTCATTTCCTTTGGGAAATTCCAAGGAGTGGCATGGCTGGGTTGAATGGTAGGGTTATATTCAGGTTTCTGAGGAATCTCCAGACTGACTTCCATAGTGGCTTGACCAGTTTGCATTCCCACCAACAGTGGGTTAGTGTCCCTTTTTCCCCACATCCTCTCCAGCATCTATTGTTGGTAGATTTCTGAATGTGAGCCATTCTAACTGGGGTGAGGTGAAACCTCATTGTGGTTTTGATTTGCATTTCCCTGATTGCTAGTGATCTTGAACATTTTTTTCATGTGTCTGTTGGCCATTTGGATTTCCTCTTTTGTAAAATGTCTATTGAGGTCCTTGGCCCATCTCTTAAGTGGATTGTTTGTTTTGATCTTGTGGAGTTTCTTGATTTCTTTGTAGATTCTGGTTATCAACCCTTTATCTGTTGCATAGTTTGCAAATATATTTTCCCATTCTGTCGGTTGTCTCTTCACTTTCCTGACTGTTTCTTTTGCAGTATGGAAACTTCTCAATTTGATGCAATCCCAAATGTTAATTTTGGCTTTGACTGCCTGTGCTTCTGGGGTGTTTTCCAAGAAGTCATTGCCGGTACCTGTATCTTGCAGGGTTTTTCCAATGCTCTCTAATAATTTGATGGTGTCAGGTAGTAATCTTTACTTAATATATGCTAAACTGATCTTCTGTATATAAAGAGAATTGAAAATGAATCTTGATGTGAATGGAAGTGGAGAGGGAGCAGGAAAGGGGAGGGTTGGGGTTGGGAGGGAAGGTATGGGGGGGAAGCCATTGTACTCCATAAGCTGTACTTTGGAAATTTATATTCATTAAATAAAAGTTAAAAGAAAAAAGCCAGCTATCACAACCTCAGCTATAAGTGGCAAACTTCACCTAGGCTACTCATTTTACATATAGATATGAGTGATAATAATATGAACCAAGTGGAAAAGTATACTAAATGTGGTATAGAGGCCGGCGTGGTGGCACAGCGCATCAAGCCCCACATGCAGTGCAGGCATCCCATATGGGTGCCAGTTCTAGTCCCAGCTGCTCCAGTTCCCATCTAGCTCCCTGCTATGATCTGGAAAAACAGTATAAGATGGCCCAAGTGCTTGGGCCCCTGCACCCACATGGGAGATCCAGAAGAAGCTTCTGGCTTCGGGTCAGCTCAGCTCTGGCCATTGCGGCCATTTGGGGAGTGAACCAGCGGATGGAAGTCCTCTCTCTCTCTCTCTCTCTGTCTGGTTCTACCTCTCTATGTAACTCTGTCTTACAAATAAATAAAATCAATACTTTTTAAAAATATGGTATAAAATACTACTTCCTTCATGTATAAGGCAAGTTTATATTTTAAAATGATTGTTAAAAATACACTATATCCTGATCTATGTTTTACAAATATTATTCCCTAATACACTGTTATAGAAAACATAATTGAATTTTTCTAGAAGAATGATGAATTCACTTGGTGTCTTAGAATTCTGGTTTTGGAGGGCCAGCGCTTTGGCTCACTTGGTTAATCCTCCACCTGCGGCGCCAGCATCCCATATGGGCACCAGAATCTAGTCCCGGTTGCTCCTCTTCCAGTCCAGCTCTCCGCTGTGGCCCTAGAGGGTAGTGGAGGATGGCACAGGTGCTTGGACTCCTGCACCTGCGGAGGATACCAGGAGGAAGCGCCTAGCTCCTGGCTTCAGATCGGTGCAGCACCGGCCATGGCGGCCATTTGGGGAGTGAACCAATGGAAGGAAGACCTTTCTGTCTCTCTCTCTCTCTCACTGTCTGTAACTCTACCTGTCAAATAAAAAAATAAAAAGAATTCTGGTTTTGAGGGCAAAGTCCAAGATATTTAGTTTAAATGGTTGAGTCTAAATGTGTAACTTTAAAAACCAATTTTCATGTGCCTAGTAAACTGCTAAGAAACCAACTACTAAACCAACAATATGGCAATGCTAACTTATAGCCAATTTTACCTATCTTCTGTTGTTTTCTTATTGAAGATAGATTCTGGACACTCTTCAGAACACCCAAGGCAACTGCATTATCAGCATGTGTACTTAGGCTGTGGTCTGGGATCCATTCTCTGTCCCCTGGAAACAGAAAAACAGTAAAATAATATAACATATGAAGTGAGAAACATTCATGTTGGCCTGATATATTTATTATCTTACTGAACAAATTTAGCTGAATAAAATATCTTTAACAATGATATATATCCATACATATATTATGAAATATAAAATCTCATAAACTAAAACCCACTAAATTCACATATATTGATTAAAAAGAAAAAATAATATATCAGTTGCAAAATATTACACTCATATGTTTAAATAGGAACAAATATTCTTAAAAGTATATGACAATATAACATAAGGTATAACTGCTTTTTATTTTATTTTATTTTATTTACTCATTTTGTATTTGAAAGACACACAGAGAGAGAGAGAGAGAGAGAAAGAGAGAGAGAAAGAGCGCTCTTTCATCCACTTATTTACCCTCCAAATTCTTGCAACACCTAGGGTTGAATCAAACCCAAGCCAGGAGCCAGGAAATCAGTTCAGGTCTTCCACATTGGTCGCAGGGACCTAACTACTTGAGTTGCCACCTGCTGCATCCCAGGGTGTGCATTAACAGGAAGCTGGAGTAGGAAGTAGAGCTCAGACTCAGACTCAGGCCCTCTAAGTGGAATGTGGATGTCTTAACAACTATGCCAAATGCCCATCCTACTAGTTTAGCATGAATAATCACATGTAAAAGGACAGGTTACCCAAGAATATTGATGACACCATGGCCCAGCTTCCAAAAAGAAACAACAAAATCATGAACAAATAGGAAATCGAGTATACAAAGGCAGTTTTAAAAGCTTGTGGATAAATACAATTAAAAGAAAAGTTTATTTTGGTGCAAAATTTTGGATACTCATGTAGTTTTTTGATAATACACATTTTCCAGGAACTTTTTGAAGACCTGTCACATGTATAACTAATAAGGAGATTGAATCAATAATCAAGAATAACCTAACAAAGAAAGGCCTGGAACTAATATTATGTGTTACTGGTGAATTCTATCAGACATTTACAGAGGAATTCACCTCAATCCTTCTTCAACTTTTCCAAATAATTGAAGAGAAGAGAATACTTCTTACCTCATATTAGGAAGCCAACATTATCCTGACACAAATGTCAAATAAAACACTATAAGAAAAGTATCAACCAATAAAATTATCAATGAATATGCCTAAGGAGCAGTTATGCAAAAATCCTCAAGGAGGTACTAGCAAACAAAATTCAGCAACATGTTAAAAGGATTATACACCATGACCAAGGAGAATACACTACAGAAATAAAAGGATAATTCAACATATGAAAATCCATCAGTATAATTAAAACACTGACATAATGAAGGAAAACAAAACAGGATCACCTCAGTTGATGCAGAGAAGTTATTTGACAAAATTCAACACCCATGCAAGAAAAAGAACACTCAACAAACTAGGAATAGAAGGAAACTACTTCCACATAATAGTCATACCTAAAAACCCAGAATAAACACCATATTCAATGGTGAAAAACTGAAAGATTTTCCTCCAAGATCTAAAGAAATTCAAGGATTGACATTTTTACCACTTCTATCCAACATACTACTGGAAGATCTAGCAAAGAGACAAGAGAAATAAGTAATAATCATTCAAATGAGAAAGAAGAAAAAGTTATTTCCATTAACAGATTATATAATCTATGTAAAAAGAAACCTAACCATTGCATGAAAGAAATCTGTTAGAACTAATAAATGGAATAGAATGCAAAGTCAGCAGGCAAAAATAAATTACATGTCTATATACCAAAAATAAAAAATATGAACTCAAGCAGACAATTCTATGTATAATAATATAAAAAGGATAAAATATTAGAGAATTAACTAAGGAGATAAAGAATGTTCATAGAAAGCTATAAAACATTACTGAAAGAAATTAAGGAAGACTTAAATAAATGGAAATATATCCCATTGCATGGACTGGAAGATGTAATAGGGTTAGGATGGAAATGCTACTCAAAGCAATTTACATACTCAAGGCAACACCTATCAAATTCCCAACGCCAGGTTTTGAAGTGATAGAAAAATCATACTAGGCCAGTATTTTGGCATAGTAGGTGAAACCACCACATGCAATACCAGCATGCCATATGTGTGCCAACTTATGTCCCAGTTGCTCAACTTCTAACACAGCTCCCTATTAATGGCCTGGGAAAAGCAGCAGAAGACGGTCCACGTGTTTGGCCCCTGCCACCCACATGGGAGACCTGGAAGAAATTCCTGGCTCCTGGCTTCAGCCTGGCCCAGCCCTGGACACTGCAGCCATCTGGGGAGTGACCCAGTGGATAGAAGATCTCTGTCTCTCCCTCTCTGTAACTCTGGCTTTAAATAAAAACAAATAAACCTTTAAAAAGGAAAAAGAAAAACTCACCCAAAAATTCAGATGGAATCATAAGGGACCTTAAGTAGATGAAGCAATCTTGAGAAAAAATAATGAAGCTAGAGGACTCACCCTTCCTAATCACAGAACTTATTACAAATAAACAGTAATGAAAAAAGTATGGCACTGGAAAAAAGTCATACATGTTGACAACTGGAATAGAATAAAGAACATAAAATAAACCCTAGCATATATGATCAAATTATTATTGCTGTTAATTAAGAATGTTTATATATATAAATGTATACATACATATATATATATATAGTATAAAATAAGATGTTCTGAAATATGTCTCCACAGTGGAATGGCTAAATCAACCTAATAAGCATGTATCTAACCTCACAAATTAAATATTTTTGTGCATAATAAGATTATTTAAAATCTACCCTCTTAGTGAAATTATTTTTGACAAAGAACCTAGACCACAAAGACAGTTCTTTTAAAAAATGCTGCTGGAGGGGCCAGCATTAGGGTGCAGTGGGTTAACCCACTGCCTGCAGCACGAGCATCCCAGTTAGGCACCCGTTCAAGTCCCAGCTGCTCCAGTTCCCATCCAGCTCACTGCTAATGTGCCTGGGAAAGTTATGGAGGATGGCTTAAGTCCTTGGGCCCTTGAACTCATGTAGGAGACCCAGAAGAAGCTCCTGGCCTTGGTCTGTTCCAGCCCTAACTGTGGCAGCCATCTGGGGAGTGAATGAGTGGATGTATTTCTCCTTCTCTCTCTGTAACTCTGTTTTTCAAATAAATTAAATGTCTCTTAAAAATGCTGCTTGAAAACTCTATGCATATGCAAAAGAGTGAATCTATAATTTAACCTAACACCACATACAAAAATTAACTCAAATTGGATAAAAGATCTAACGGTAAAATTTAAAACTAAAAATTCTTAGAAGAAAATGCAATGTAAAAGCTTCACACATTAGATTTGGATACAATTTCTTGGATATGTTACAAAAGGCACAGACAACGAAATAAATAGTAGACAACCTGGTCTTCATGAATTTTATAATCCGCATTAATAGATACTTATGAGCAGAAAAACAGCAATCTCCATGGGGCAGGCCTTTTGTAGCACATCAATTAAAGACTTCACTTTGGATGCATGCATATTAGATTGCCTGGGTCCAAATCTCATCTCTGCTTGTGAACTAGCTTTCTAGTACTGCATCTGGGAGTCAGTAAGTGATGGCTCAAGTACTTGAGTCACTGCCACCCATGTGGGAGACCTGGATACAGTCCTTGGCTCTTGAATTTGGCCTGATTTAGAAATTATGTGCCATTTGGGGAGTTAACAAACAGATGGAGAATAGGGTCTCTCTCTCTCTCTCTTTTGCTTCCTCTCTCTCTCTCTCTCTTACTGCTGCTGTTGTTCTGCCTTTAAAATAAATAAGAATGCCCAATCAAAACACCAATGATATTCTTCTCATATCTAAAAAATGATATTAAAATTCATATGGACACACAGAGGACCCTCAAGAGCTAAAGCAATATTAAACAACAAAAACAATGTCAGAGACATCACAATACCAGATTTGAACACATACAACAGGGAATATAATCAAAACAGCCTGTTAATGGCACAAAAATAGACATGTAGACCAATAAAACAGGATAAAAAAATCCAGAAATCAATCCAAGAACCTACAACCAATCAATATTTGACAAAAGAGCCAAAATCAATTCTTGGAGAAAGGACAGTCTCTTCAACAAATAGTGCTGGGAAAATTGGATCTATGCATGCAGAAGTATGAAAAAAGACCCTTATTTTACACTTTATTCAAAAATCAAATAAAAATTCTTCAACGATCTAAATCTACAACCTGATACAAAAAATTACTATGGGAGAACAATGGGGAAATTTTGGAAGACATTGGCATAGGCAAATATTTCTTGGAAAAGATGGCAGAAGCACAGGCAATAAAAATAAAAATAGAAAAATAGGATTACATCAAGCTAAGAAGCTTCTGCACAGCAAAGGGAACTCAACAAAGGGAAAAAGCAACCAACAGAATGGGAGAAAATGCTTGCAAGCTATGTAACTGGTAACAGATGAATATCTAGAATCTATAAAGAGCTCAAGAAATTCAGATATAACAAAACAAAAAATCCAGTTAAGAAATGGGCAAAGGACTTGAACAGGTGCTTTTCAAAAGAAGAAATTCAAATAGCCAGCAGACACATGAAAAAAAGTGCAGGATCATTAGCAATTAGGGAAATGCAAATCAAAACCACAATGAGGTTTCACCTCACCCCTGTTAGAATGCATCTCATGCATAAATCAAAAAACAACAAATGCTGGTGAGAATGTGAGGAAAAGGTTACCCTAACCCACTGTTGGTGGGAATTTATATTAGTATAACCATTATAGAAGACAGTATGGAGATGACTCAAAAAGCTGAAAATAGATATATCATAAGACCCAGCAATCCCACTCCTGGGAATTTACTCACACAAAATGAAACCAGCATATGAAAGAGTTATCTGTATCCTCATGTTGCTTGCAGCTCAATTCATAATAGCTAAGATATGGAATAACTCAGATGTCCATCAACTGATGACTGGGTCAATAAATTATGGAATACTACTCAGTCATAAAAAGAATGACATCCTGTCTTTTGCAACAAATTGGATGCAGCTGGAAACCATTATACTTAGTGAAATTGGCCAGTCATGAAAAGAAAAATACCATATGTTTTCCCTGATCTGTGATAACTAATAGAGTACCAAAAAATGTAATGTATATGAGTGAAATTGACATTTTGAGATTCAATGAATGATACAGTCCTTGCATCTACTGTTGAAGAACAGGTATCTTTTTTTTTTCTATTTGTTGAATTCTTTACTTAGTGTAGGGTTAATCTTATGAGTATAAATATATTGAGAGTAATCATTGAAACAATTAAAAGAAGCAATTTGAAAAGAAGAAGACAGGTAGAAACATGGGTAGGAGGGAGGGTAGGGTGGTAATTATTACTATGCTTCTAAATAAATATATATGAAATACATGAAATTTGTTTACCTTAAAAAATTTTTAAAATAAAGTAAAAAATAAGCAGTTCCCCAAATTTCAACACCTTAAGATAATCACTGTTAACATTTTAGCATATTTTTTCAAGCCTTTGTTAGTTAAGATATTTCTAAAAATTAAATAAAAATAGTCATTTCACTTCCAGAAATAAATAAGAAATAAGAATATATAAACATTAAAAAAGGCAATCCAAAAATGAGAATATTTAAAAACTATGTCTCTTATAAGGAGCTAATATATAAAATATAATTTTTAAAACTCAACAATAAAACAAAGCTAGATATAAAAATGAGCAAAAGACGGGGCCAGTGCTGTGGCATAGCGTAAAGCTGCCGTCTGCAGTGCTAGCATCCCTTATGGGTGCCAGTTCAAGTACTGGCTGCTCTACCTCTAATCCAGCTCTCTTCTATGGCCTAGGAAGGCAGTGGAGGATGGCCCAACTCCTTGGGCCCCTGCGCCCATGTGGGAGACCCGGAAGAAGCTCCTGGCTTTGGCTGTTGTGGCCAACTGGGGAGTGAACCAACAGATGGAAGACCTCTCTCTCTCTCCTCTCTCTCTCTCTCTGCCTCTGTCTCTCCGTCTCTCCATAACACTTTCATGTAAACAAATAAAAAAATCTTAAAAACATGAGTGAAGAACGTGAAAAGACATTTCTCCAAAGAGTACATATCAAAGACTAATAAATATGCTCAAAATCATTAATTCTTAGAGAAATGCAAATCTGAACTACAATGACACTACCAATTTAGACCCAGGAGAATGTCTACTATTAAAAAGAATAGACTAACAAGTATCATCAAGGATATGAAGTAACTACAATACCTGTGCACTGTTGATGAAAATATATTGTGGTCTAGCCACTGTGGAAAAGAATTCCATTGTTTTTCAAAAACTTTCAAAAATCTCCATGATCCATAAATTCCACCTCTGAGTATACACCTAAAATAACTGAAAGCAGGATCCACAAGGGATGTTGTACAACCCATATTCACAGCAACATTATTTGCAAAAGTTAAAAGGTGGAGGAAACTGAAGCATCCATTGATGAATAAATGGATAACCAAAATGTGGTAGATATACACTGTAGGATGCTATTTGCCCTTAAAATGGAAGAAATTTCATTTTTTGATTCAACCAGGGTATTTTATTGCAGAACAGACATAAATCCTCTATACTAAATCCGCATTCTTAATGCAACAATAATCAAAAAGGAAATTCTAAAGAAAACAAAAACAACAACAAAAAAAAAACCCACCCTCTTTCCACTTGAACAGTGACTTTCATATTCTTTCCCATAGAGTAGCTGGGAGTTGAGAGGTATATAAAAGAGAAGCTGAGTAGACAAAGCTTCAGACATTCTATCTGCAGTTTTGCAAATTTTGTTTTTTTCTTTAAAAAAAAAGTAACAGGAATTTTGACACCTGTACAACACGGATGAAACTTGAGTCATTATAGGAAGTGAAATAAACCAATTACACACACACACACACACACACACACACACGAAGCCAAATACTATATAGTTCTACTTTAACAAGGAAGTGTAATCAAAATCAAAAAATAGAAAGTAGGGGTTGAAAGGAAGGGAGATGAAGAATTACTGCTTTAATGAAATAGAATTTCAGCTTTGAAGATGAAAACGGTTCTGGAGATGAATAGAAATGATGGTCGCATGCCATTGTGAATGCTTTTAATACTATTAAACTGCACTTTTAAAAATGGTTAAGAGTGTGGAAACCTGGCATAGCAGTTAAGACATAATTTGGGAAGCTTACATCTCATATCACAGCACCTGAGTTTGAGTCTTGGCTCAGCTTTGGATTCCATTTTTCTGCTATTGTGCACCCAAGGAGACAAAAGGTGATGGCACAAGTAGATGGGTACCTGCCTCCCATGTGGGAGACCTAGCTCCTAGCTTCAACCTAGCCCAGCCCTGGCTGTTGTAGACTTTTGGGAGAATGAACCAGCAGATTCAGCTGTCTCTGTCTCTGTCTCTGTCTCTGTCTCCCTGTATGTTTTTGCATCTTCCAAATATACAAAATCAATAAACATTTTTTAAAGAAGTTGAGAGCAAAAACGAATGACAGAATTCTCCCAGAAATTTCATAGAGGCTAAGATTTTGATTAGTTTTAAGTCAGAATTATAGGAATTCAGAAATCATCATATGGTACTTACCATGACAACATGATAGAGCAATTTCTGCTATATTTATAATTTAGTAAGGGTCACACTTCTAAATCAACAATAATATTTCCTCAGATTCATTATAGTAATTTTTCTCACATTTGATAATAGCCTTAATAAATGTCAGTGAAGCAGCATGATTCAAAAAATTCATGAAATGTGGAATTGGAAATTAAGTTTATTTAGGGGTACAAAACATTTTGAAATTTATTCATAGGATGTTATTCATGAGCATTTTCCATGAACATTTTGAAGGCTGCACATATGCAATACACAAAGTGTCAATGATTTTAGCATGGCAAGAAGGAATTATTTTATTCATTGAACAGAATAATTTCCCAGTATTTCCTAAGATGAGAACAGACTGTTTAAAAAAGAAATGAGATAGAAATTTGTTAGGTTGGTCTACAGATCATTTCATTTCTGATTACCTGCAAATGTATTCCAAGGTCTGGAATAGCTGCATTCTAAGCTATGAGAAGAAAGTAAGTTGAATCTTTCATTTTTATCAAAAATAAAGAATCTTTCAAGTCCTTGATATTGCTCAATTATAGGCTTACTTCTGAGGGCTATTTCTTGTAACAACTAGGAAACAAAATATTCAACACAATTAACTTTGTTTTCAACCTCATCAAAATTAGGAAGCATACTAGGTACTTGGTATGAATTTTGCTTTCATCAACATTGGTTCTAACAGTGGGGACAAAACAACATACCATTTTATAAACTAAATCCACAAAAATGTATAAACCACAATTAAGGGTAATTATCTGAAAACTACCTTCAATCAAAGGATTGTAGAAATTCAAGAAATACAATAAAGTTTGCTTTTCTATCTTCTTTCCCTGTTTTCTTACTTTTGTGTCTTTTCAAATAAATTATTTTGGAATATAAAATCTCTTTCATGTATAATGCTCTTGAACTAGTGTCTTTTTCTATACTTGAAATAATTTCAGAGGTGGAAGTAAAATACTAATAGAAATAAATTTGAACTGACAAAAGTAAAGGACAAAATCCAAGTTAAGTAAATAATAATCATGAAGCAAATATGCAAGTAGGAAACTGAAGAAAGAAGCAGTTACAAAATTGATGAAGTTTATATATATAGAAAATAATAGAATAGGCTTTGAACATAAATTTGGTTAATTTGAAGCTTGGATTTACTCCACTACCCTACTGATTTGTTTTATTTCTAAAATTTGTTTATTTATTTGAGAGGAAAAGAGGGATAGGGAGTAAGAGAGAGAGACAGACAGACAGAGAGAGAGAGAGCAAGTTGTCCCACCCACTGGTTCACTCCTCAAATGCCTGCAACAGCCAGTCTGGGCCAAGGCCAAAGTCAGAAGCCAGGAACACAATTCAGGCCTCCTATGTGGGTAGCAAGAACCTATTACTGAGCCATCATAGCTGCCTCCTAGGTTTCTCATTGGCAGGAAACTGGAGTCAGGAGCCAGAGATGGGAATTGAATAGGTGATGTGGGCTAGATTACGCAATCAGTTAACGAGCAGAGAAGCTAAGAGACTGTCACAGTGTTTGAGCCACAGCTACACAGTGCACAAAACCCCACAGCCTTCCCTGCTGAATTAACATGGATGCAGGCTGAACACACCCATTCCCCAGCATGCCCTGGAGCCTCACTACTCCTCATGCAGTAGAACCCACGATGAACATACGTGTGCTGTGCCCCATGTGGAGACATCATCACCCCTTTCTGGAGATCACCACATGCACTGAAGCCCCATCCAAACTCTGGCAAATTGAATATTCAATTAGAGGGCTACCCCTATTCTTTAAAGGGATGATCTCAACTTTGGTGGGGACAGTCACCATGCTAAGGCAGAGAGGTTACTCATATTCACATTGTTGTGTGTACTATCCCTTTAAACAAATCCCGCTTCCCTCTATACCATGATGCTTCCACCTTGAAATCTTGCAAGTGTGCAATGAAATACCTGAAATGAACCCAACGAGCGATTCCGTTCCCCACAACACAGTATTGTGACATGGAATATGAGCAGCTTAACCATTAGGTTAAACCTTTGTTCTGTAATTCATTTTTTAAAGGTTTTTATGCTAGGAGAGATTATATTTGGAATTAAACACACATACACACACACATACACACAAAGAGAGGAATCTCTTAGGAAACAAATTAGGATTTCAAAAGTAAGAGTTCTAGTTGGCCTTAAAATACAGTCTAAGTGGCTAATGGTATTTAACAATTCTCCTTAATAAATCTAATTAATGCCCCCAATGCAGTCAGTTTTAAGGAACTAAACAATGTAAGGGAATTTTGCTATAATTCAATATAAATTTATAAATCACATAAATGAGAAAATATTTTAAAATATAGTGATTGCTCAATGGAATATGTATATGTATCAAAGTCAAGTCCAAGTCCATTGTTTTCAGGGCATCTTCCCTAGTCCTCTCTGACAGGGATCAAAAATCCTAGAATTCCTTCAGCTCTACTGGAACTCATATTTGGACTATGCAGTTGCTAAACTAGGTTTTAAAAGTCTTGGCTAACAGGATTAAGAAACAGTGATTATGGTTTGTTTTGGTTTTGCCCAAACTCACAAAGTTAACTATTGACACTTTCAGAACCAGAATCAAGGAACTTGTTGTTCCATGTTCTTCCCAGTTATTGCCCTAAATTTAATCGGAAGTTCTCCCAGGTGAAGAAATCAATTCCTGAAAATCAAAGTTCAAAATGAGCAAACTAACATTAAACTTGGGTGCCAGGACACACCAGTGCTAAAAACTGGCCTTCTAGAAACACAAATTTTCTACTGAAGCACACCAGGCAAAATGTAAACAACTTCTGCTCTTGGAATGGCTTCTACTATGGTGGAACAGAAACAGTTCAGGTCTAGTCATTACTGCTGACAAAAGTAGATTCAGCCACTTAAGTCGTCAAAAACAAGAATTCAGTCTGAAAACCGTGAGGTACTAATTCCTCTCCCAGCTATGACCCAACAACTTCACTCACTTCAGAGGTTGGTGTCTCCCTTAAGAAGGAGCTCAAGGAGAAGCCTGGGAGTCAGTTTAAAGCCTATTACAAGTGGAAGAAAATTTTCTGTGAAACTACATTATTTTATCCCTCAGATACAATCACTTTGGAATGGCTTAATTATTATTTTGTTTACATATTTTAAAAAAAGACAATCATCAAGTTAGAGACCTGTTGGTCTGTGGAAGATTCCTTTGAAATTCCAACATGAGGCCGTGGCATTGTGGCACAATGGGTTATGCCACTCTTTAGGATGCTCACATCACATGCTGGAATGTCTGAGATTGAGTCCCACATCTATTTCCCATCCAGCACTGCTGCTAATGAATACCCTGGGAGCAGATGATGGCTCTACCCATGCTGGAGAGATCCAGTTGGAGTTCTTGGCTCCTGCTTGTGGTCAGGCCCAACACAGGTTGTTGAGCGCAGTTGAGGAGTGAACTCATGGATGGAAGAGCTCTTTCTCTCTGTTTGCCACTCTGCCTTGCAAATAAATAAAATATAAATCAATTTAAAAAAATGGAATCCTATAACTGATTGTTCCTGCAAGGCCTCCAGCTGAATATCCCCCAAGAAGAAAAGGCGCTACTGTGCAGGACTACATTTACTGTAACCTAATTGAAAAAACAATATCCATGTAAGCCACATTACAACAGTCCCTGCCTTCTGATTATTTCAGCAGGTTTCACCTGGTGAGGACATTAGGGATCCCAGTCATTAACTGGTTTCCTGAACTATGTCACTTCATGTTTTATATGAAGAATTTATAGTGTTAAATGGAGTAAAATAAGAATGTGTCCTAAAAAGGTACACCCTCCTGTTAATAAACATCTTAAGTTAGTGATACCTCTTTCACACTAATTAAATAAGCTGGTGTCATCGTATAAAAGAAAAAAGGCAGGCTGCTGGAATTTAATAGTGCAGTTAAAATCACAGCCATTCTGACAGGCTTTAATGAACTGAGAGTAGACCAGGATATTAATAGATATTCAAATCCCTGGTTCAGTCACCCAACTGGAAAGTTCTCTTAGAAATGGGACTAGAAAATAAGGCCTGAAGGCAATGCGTGTTGCCCTATGCCTCCACACTGAAACAAAGAGTGTGTTGGGCAAGACTTCTCAGCGAGTTTATCACACGCACACTTGGAAAAGAGAAGCAGAGAAGGATAACACTCTACTCAGAGCTTACTGGTAAAAAAGAGGTGAAAAGGAAGAGAAGGTCAGGAATAGATCCAAACAGACACAGGTACTCAAAAGGAGAATAGTAGACACATTTTAAAACCCAGGTCCGTTTTCAATAACTCTTTGCCTGTGCCAACATCTAGCAGAATTTTCCCAATGCTTTCCTCTAGTAATTTGATGATATCAGGTTGGAGGTTTAAATCTTTGATCTATTTTGAGTTGATTTTCATATAAGATGTAATGTAGGGGACTTGTTTCAGACTTCTCCATACGGAGATCCAGTTTTCCTGGCACCATTTGTTGAAGAGACTGTCCTTGCCCCAGGGATTGTTTTTAGCTCCTTTGTCAAAAATAAGTTGGTTGTAGATGTGTGGGTTGATTTCTGGAGTTTCCATTCGTCTACAAATCTATTTTATATGCCAGGAAGTAGACTGTTTTGATAATAACCATCCTATAGTATGTCTTCAAATCTGGTATTGTGATGCCTCTGGCTTTATTGTTCAAGACTGCTTTATTTTTTAAAAGATTTATTTATTTATTTGAAAGTCAGAGTTACAGAGAGGCAGAGGGAGAGGGAGAGAGAGAGAGAAAGAGGTCTTCCATCTGCTGCTTCCCTCCACAAATGGCCACAATGGCCAGAGCTAAGGTGATCCAAAGCCAGGATCCAGGAGCTTCTTCTGGGTCTCCCACATGGGTGCAGGGCCCCAAGCTCTTGGGCCATCTTCTACTGCTTTCCCAGGCCATAGCAGAGAGCTGGATCAGAAGGGGAGCAGCTAGGACTCAAACTGGCACCCATATGGGGTGTCAGCACTGCAGGTAGCAGCTTTACCTTCTACTTCACAGTGCCAGCCCCTTAAGATTGCTTTAGCTATTCAAGATCTCTTGTGTTTCCATATCAAATTTGGCATCATTTTTTTCTAGATCTGAAAAGAATGCCCTTTCTTTTTTGATTGGGATCACATTGAATCCATAAAGTGCTTTGGGTAGTATGGACATTTTTATATCAATTCTTTCAATCCACAAACATGGAAGAATTTTCCTTATTTTGTATCTTTTTCTTTCTTTAAGGTTTTGTAATTTTAATAATAAATATCTTTGACATCCTTGGTTAAATTTATTCCAAGACCACAGAAGCACAGGCAATAAAAACAAATATAGACAAACAGAATTACATCAGTTAGCTTCTGCAACGCAAAGACACTCTCAAAGTGAGGAGGCAACCAACAGAATGGGAGAAAATATTTGCAAACTATGCAACTGATAAAGGATTAATATCCAGGAACTGTAAGGAGCTCAAGAAACTCAACAGCAATAAAACAAACACTCCAGTTAAAAAACAGGCAAAGCACACAAACACACATTTTTCAAAGAATGAAATACAAATGGCCAA